GAGGGCAGGTGTGGGGCTGCGGGACGCCAAGGGACCGGGGACGGCGACAGGGGTGGCAGTGCTGCCCGAGGGCTTGCTCTCGGAAAGTCCCTAGCTGGAGGAAAGAGGCGATGGGGGTGGGAAATGGAGCCCCCCCCCCCATTGCCTTCACCTGCGGCTGCTGCATGAAAAGCTGGACCCAAGGGGTGGGAGGATGTTCCAAGTGCAGGGTCTTTTCAGAAACACGCTGGGGTGGGGGGGGAACGGTGCTGACGGGACTCACCGGCGCCCCGTGGGATCGTGGTGTCCCGCGGGGGGATGCTCGGGCTCATCTCGCCCCCCACGCAGTTCCCCGCACCACCTGCCTTGCGCCGGGAGCGGGGCGGGGGGAGGATTTTGCTTGCGCTGCTGCTGGGGACGTGCGGTGGTCAGTTTGGGGGTCGGTGGGTCCCCGGCAAACCTGGCTTGGCAGAGTGGTGGGGTGACCAGCGACCCCGGGGCCACCCGGAGCTGAGTCCCCGAGGGCTGGTACCCCCCGGCGGCAGAGGGGGTTTGGGGCAGCGCTGCAAGGAAGCTGGGAAGGTTGGAGGCTGGGAGAGGGAACGGAGAAGGGTTTCTGGAGCAGGGTTTCTGGCTGCCGACACCTCTTCGCAGTCCCCGTGTGGCCCTGGCTCTCATGGGTGCTCTGAGAAGGGCTGTCCCCAAGCGCTGGTGCCGAATGGGGCAGCCCCAAGGAGCGCTTGGGACATAGGGGAATCCCCCCTGGAATGGCACTGGAGGGGGTGGGGGATTGATTGCTGCTCGTCTCTGCGGCGGCTGCTGCAAGGGGTAGGGAGCGACCAGCTCCTCCCCGAGCTCTCACACCCCTCATGGTAAAGTCCATCGTGGCTCTTGTGGGGCTGGGGTCTGGAAACTCCTAGTGCTCCTTTCTTCCCTTTCCCAAAGCGGTCCCGATCCTGCTTGGAAAGGGTGCTGGGAAGGAGGAACAGCTGTAAAAGCCCTCTGCTCCTCTAGCCGTGTCACGGGTGCTGGCTCAGCTCCTCTTGCAGCCTTTTCCAGCTCAGCACTCCAGCAGAGACGGGGAGAATGTGCCCGAGAGCCCTTCCCTCCTGCCCCTCGCTGCTCCTGCTCCCAACACCTGCTCCTCTCAGTGCCCTCACCCGCTGCCTTGGTGGGGTTCTCAGCAGTGCCCCAAGCCCTTCGAGCGAGTGTGAGCCTCCCTAGAGCAAAGGAGGGCTGTGATGCCATGAGGGTGCGTGAGGCTCCAGGTCAGCAAAAACATTTGCTCCTCAGATAAACATTAACAGGCAGTGGGAGCAGGGGGAGACCCAGCGCGGTACTGGGACCAGCGGTCAGGTGCTCTTGGCTTCCTACTGTACGAGGAGTAAATGCCAGAGGCCGGTGTGCTGTGCAGTTGGTGGAGATGGACACTCTGGGGCTAAAGAGGCACTTAAGCTCGGTGGGGGTCATGATTATAATGTAGCATTCAGGGGGAAGTGAAAATTAACCTCTCGGTTGTAGCCATCGATACCTCCTGTGGTGTTGCATCTCCTGCGTTTTGGATCTTCCAGTGGCTGTGTTTTGCAATGCCCGGGGGCAGCGTGGGTTAGGAGTAGCAAGGGCACAGAGGGAGGAGGTGTCCTGCAGTGATAACCAGCTCCTGGTGGGGGTCAGGCCAGCCTCCAGCAGCCTCAGCAGCCAAACTCCCACCAGCTTTGGGGCAGGAGCCTCTGGTGCCAAGAAATCTAGTGTCTGCATTTCAGTTGCTGTTTGTATTTTTACTATTAATTATTTGCATTTCAGTAGCATGTGTTGTGGACCAGGAATTTGTTGTCCAAATAATTGCTCGATCTGTTTGGCTGTCTCTGTTCATACCTCAGATGTTGCGGCTGTGTGTAGCCAAAGCTGGGAGACGAGCAAGTGGCTAATTGCAGAACCACTGCAGCATCCAGGGTGCACGTGGCAGGGACAGGGGACGTTGGGCTGTTTGCGCTGGGCAGTTGACCTCAGTGCTCCAATGCTCAGCTACGGTGTTAGGAAACCTCAGGCTTGCAATGAAGTCTGAGTGTTGGAAAACTGCTTTCGTTCCTCTAAAGGCAACGTTAGTAAAACCGGTGAAATATGAATTGTGCAGTTCTGGGGGCAGCTGGAATGGAAAGAGAGAATTATGAGTGGAAAAAATATAGCATCACCAAAGCTGAACCTGACAAACCTACACCTGTGGTTGAAAAAGAAAAGTTGTGTAAAGGAATTCTTTGGCCTGTTAAGATATTTTATAATGAAAAGGTAGTTTTATAGATACATGCCAGACATTAAAAAATGGTGCATTGAAGTCGGGACATTAGCTGCTTAAATTGACTTTAGAGTACTTCAGATTTTACACTAGCAGAGAGTTGGCTCAGGTTAAATATATGATCAAACACACAGCGGTCACTTCATTTGGTGACAAATACCAAAATTCTTACTGCAAACAGAGCAGGCTGCCTCCTGTGCTGCCAGTCTGTACCTTATGCCACCGGGTGGGATATTTTCCACCCCCCGGTGTCAGTGTGTGCAGCTAACTGGAGCTTTGTGGCACATTCACTGTTTTTAGCCACTTTGGCCAAACAGATTGTTATTGTTTTTAAAGTCTTAGTCAAAATGAGCGTCACAAGCACAGCTTTTGTGTTGTTACAAAATACTGCCCTCGCCGTACGTCCTGCTTGTGATTTGGGCAGCTGTAGTTTCCACATCAGGGGCTGTCTTTGCTTTGTCCTCCAAAACAGGCCAAGTATGGAGAGCTGCTGAGTTATGTCAGTCCTTTGCCTCTTGGGAGCATTCCTGGAGAGCTCTTGCTTTCTGGGAAGCCCAGGCCTTGAAATATAACCTGCTGCTTGCTCCAGCACTGGGGATGTATGGAAGTGCCAGGGAAAGTGGTGGAGGGGATGGGGTCTGGGTACAGATCTCCACTGGGAGCTCGACCCGAGCATCTTCTGAGGACTGGCTGTTCCCAAAGCACCTCATATCCCCAATTGTTTGGCAATTCCTCATGTGCAGCATTTCCTGTCAGTGCGTATTGCGTTGCTGTGGGATGTTGGGTACACATGAAGAGCCTGTGGAGCCAGGTCCACACTTGGTGTCCTCCCCTGTGGTTCCGGTGAAGGTGGCACCCCGGTCTAAGGACACTGCCAAGGCAGCGGGTACAGCAGAGAGGGAGGGAAGAGACTTAAGTTACCAAATGCACCCAAATGTTTGAAAATAGGCCAGGGATTAGTGGTGTAGAAAGGAGAGCCCAGCTTCTCCGGAGAGAGAGCGGATGTATGAGCAGGCACACAACGTGCTCTTCAGCTCTCCCACGTCACAGCCACTGGGCTTTTCAAAGGGCTTATTTAGGTATTTATTTACTATAAGGGACATGTTTTTGCCATAGAGGGGAGGGCTAGGAGTAAACAGCAGGCTGCGATCTGTCTCCCAGCATCTCTTGCCCTTCTGGTATTACAATGCTCCTGCTGCCAGGAGTCTCAAACATCCGCTCTGGCTAAAGGAGGGGCTTTTGTCCCCCTCCCTTTGCCAGTCCTCTGCCTCCAAGTGTTTGCTTTCACTGGTGTGATGAATCCATTTCCCAAGGAGGTAGGTTTATGAGCATGCTTATTTCTCTGGCAGGAGGGAGGATGCCCTATCTTGCATGTTTTCTTCTTTGTTCTCTGTCAGAAGATAGAAAGTGCCATCCTTCCAAAGGCAGCAGGGAAGCAAAGGTTTCCTGACTGAGCATGGCAATGCCTGGCTGTGTCCCTGGGCAAGGAAGATGGAACAGGGGAGCCAGGAAAGGTGCTGGATGGTCTGCTCACCAGCATCATCCCAGTCTTCCCCCTCCCCAGCTGCCTCTACAGGAGCATCCAGCCCTGGTGAAGCACCTCGAACGGCTGGATGGTCTGCTCACCAG